GGTCGATTCGGCTGAAGAACCAAGGAAGAGCTGGCCACATCGCCTGGGGACTTCCTAGATCTGGGGTACGATTCCCCTTCTTCCAACCACTCCCTTGCTGACCCTCCATGGAAGATGCGGAAATGGACTCCTCATGCAGATCCTGAGGGATGATCAACTATGGAAGAATATCCAACTCCCTTCTCTCCCGGCTTCTTGCATAATTACCCCAGATGACCTCAGTGCAGGCGCTCAGTCGATTGGCATATTTCTCTAGCATTTGTATTCATACCTAATTGACGTCTCTAATTATCTGTTCTAATATTGTTTTTGTCTAGGGTCTCCATGTTCACAACATTGCTGCCAAGAGCAATATCTCTTCCACAAAATTAGGTAAGTACAGGGATTTCTGGCCAAGTGACGCTCAGTGTGAGATGATAATTAATTAGCGCTGAAGAACGGCCATTCATGAAATGAATTGTGCCCGCATCTACTTTGGAGATAGTGCGTACCCCAACATGCGTCGCACCACCCACTCAAAACGCGAGCTGTCAGGCTGAGGCAGATCATTTTTCTTAATGACCAAGTATTGCCGATACGCCCCCTCGGCCTCTTTACAAGTCAGTTCCAGATAGTATAAAACACAGTGCGTTTCTATCTCAAATTTCTCACGCAAATATCTCTGATCATCAAATGTTTCTCAGCTTTTTCAACGTCTCAGTCTTCAGCTATGTTGACCTATTCTGGTACCTTGTACAGTACGTTCATGTCGTTCTGCTCAGACATTTCATTCCCGACGTTTACTTGATAGGTGTCCCTCAGTCACTCAAAACTCCGCAGCTAGTGTTTAAAGGTTCAGTCCATAGGACCACAAAAAACCGGTGGACCGAACTGAACTGGACCATAGTCCGGTCTTTTTTTCGGTTGCAGTTGCCCCAATTTGGGGTTGGTCCAGTTGCCAGTTGCCTCATTTCGAAATTTTTTTAAAACCATTCAAAGACCGGTTTTGATCGGTTGCAACCGGTTAAACGGTTACGTGCGTTACATACCCTTGTAACCACATTTATTACCTTTTATTGGATTTTTGTTTCATCCAAAATGGTTAAGAATTGAGAAAGATATAACCAAATCCATATTTTACCCGAGTCTCTAGGAGATGTAATTCGGTTTCAGTCATAGGTATTTCAAATCTTCATTAAGTCTCTTATAAATTGGTAGAATGACGGGTATTTACATACTTTACTATTTTATAGAAGCCGTTTATTTTTCAGAGTAATAATAGTCGAGATATAAATGGTTTATATTGGTATAATAAATTATACGCAAAAAAACCGGTCTGGATCGGTCTGAACTGAAACCATAGACTGCAAAAGACCGGTCCTAGGTGGTT